AACCCCGCCGGCAACCCCACGGCAGAAGCGGCGGCTGCAGCTCCGCCGGCGGGACCGGGGAGCGCCTGTCCGGCGGGGCTTGTTTAAAAAAGCGACTCATATACCGCCCTTGAAAAGCCCGGCCCGTTCCCTCGACCCGAGCTCGGAGCGCTTCCCCGCAGGGTCGGAGGGACGCGGCGTGAAAGAGCGGCGCAGGTCGGGCTGGGGGGAGCGGGAAGAAGGAGCAGGGGAGGAACGACCCCAAAAAGCTCAAACCGCTGCTTGAGCCTTTCCCCCTGCGGAACCCCAGCGGGTGGCAGGGAGCTGGCAGTGCTCCTCCAGCGCCCGGCAAAAAAACCCCAAAAACCAAACCCAAACCCACAACCGTGCCACCTAAATCTCTCGGTGCTCCACAGCGTGGACGTGCCGACACGCCGTATCTCCCAGCCCTGTCCAAGCCCCAGCAGCCTTGCGTTTGTCAGGGGCTCATCCCAAGAGGTCTGTACCAGTTTATAAGGCAACTCGTTCACTTGGGACATCCCCATCTTCCTTTCCAAGAAGAGCACCTCCTAAGACACAAACCCATGGGCTAACTTGCCATGCTGTTTTTATTACTAGCTTTAAACACTGAGCGCTCCCCTTTACTCCACACACAGAACATCGCTGCCTTACGTATATATTTTACAATCTTGGGCTTTTTAAAAGCATGTTTGTAGAACTGTAGATTTGTGTCGAGAGGAGGGCCACAAAGATGATCCGAGGGCTGGAGCACCTCTCCTATGCAGACAGGCTGAGAGAGTTGGGGCTGTTCAGCCTGGAGAAGAGAAGGCTCTGGGGAGACCTTATTGCAGCATTCCAGTACCTAAACGGGGCCTACAGGGAAGATGGGGACAAACATTTTAGCAGGGCCTGTTGCGATAGGACAAGGTATAATGGCTTTAAACTAAAAGAGGGAAAATTTAGGCTAGATATAAGAAAGACTTTTAACAACAAGGGTGGTGAAACACTGGAACAGGTTACGCAGGGAGGTGGTCGATCCCCCATCCCTAGAAACATTCAAGGTGAGGTTGGACGGGGCTCTGAGCAACCTGATATAGTTGAAGATGTCCCTGCTCATTGCAGGGGGGTTGGACTAGATGACCTTTAAATGTTCCTCCCAACCCAAACTATTCCATGTTGTGTAGAGGCAGTATTTCTCATGCAAGAGTATCTCCACAAGTTGAAAGCACACGACAGCAGAAGGGGCAAAGATAAACCAAAATGGGTAACCCAGGGTGATCAATCTCTTACACATGTTCTCTTTCAGGAAACACGTGCAAAGAGATAAAGGATGGGAAGTGCATAACCACCATAAAATGCACACAACCACCACTGCTTGCAGTAGCTACAAAATTTCCTTCAACAGAAAAACTGTTCAGTCTGCCCCTTTGAACAGTAAAGGGAAGACCTCATCCCAAACTGACCAAGCCAAAGTGACGTCAGAATTACCAACAGTGGACAACTGCAGATGAGCAGGGGATGCGGCAGCTCTTTGGCAAGCTTCCCTCCCTTTTACATGTGCCCATGGTAGTAGAAACAGCATATATTAACTTTTGGGTTTTTTCTTTTATGAACAGCACACCTTGTAGGGCTCCAGGTGCACACAATGCCTGTCTCCTGAGTTCACATGAGATTTGGGGCAGAACACAAAATAAAAAAGAAAATAAGCACTGAAGCAGTATCATCCCTTCAAGGTGAAAAGCACAAGCTAAAAATCTACCGTTTCCCACGGTTCAGAGAGATACAGTGTATTTCTCAAGTTTCAAAACAAAAATATCTGAAAGCACTAAGTACACACAAAAGAACAAATTATACATTATCACCACCCTCTCCCTGCCCAAAAGGGGAAATTTTTCAGCCCTTCAGTAGACTATGCCTACATAGAAAAAGGTTATTTGACAGTATCAAAAGTTGTGAAACTTCAGCTGAGATGCAGTTGGAAGGAAAAGCTACAAACACTGCCGAGACCCACGTGTAAGGCCTAAGAGGAACTAAACTGAGAGAACAGCAAGTAATCTTTACTTACATCTGATGAAGGCAATGTAAGTAAAATCGCATCTCCACAGTCAGAGTACTTTTGGTGGGCAGTACACGTAAAGTTCTGAACAAATTCTCATACAGATCAGAATCTAAAAGAATGTGAGACAACTGAAGGGCCATCAGTGAGCACAGAAGCACTGACCCTGGCTATGAAACACAAAGGTAAGACCTCCCATTTGGCAGGAAAGCTTACTCTGAGTGTTTCCTGCTACAGACCTCATTTCTATCACCAAAAAATCTACCACCCCAGCAACATAGCAGCTGTTATCTTATATTCAACAATACAGACAGCAGTACACGCAAAATAAAACAAGAGCCTGCAAACCTCTGGCAAAAAATTAAAAAGAAAAAAATTCCTTGAAGATGAAAGGGACAGGAAGTAGCATACTATTTTGAATTTTCTTTTCAAAAACTGTCACTCCAATGCTATAATTGGAATTTCTGCTTAGCAATACAAGTTTTGTAACCAACACACTAACTACAGATATGTACACCACGAGGAACACGTAGCCTTTAACTCATGGGTAGAGATGCAAAAAACACCATTGAAATGATTCATAGTTTGGACTCAGCTGTGTAAAACAAAGAGTCTGATTACTTGTACATTGCCTTAAAATTAAAAATAATTAGCCTCTTAACGGCTTGGATTATACATTTCCACACAGAAGAGATTTAAGAACTGACTTACTGTATCTTTACCTACTGTAGATCTAAAAGCTATTTGTTGTCCTCATAGAGAAGCATACAGATTACCCACTTTCCACATTTAAAATCCAAATAATACACCCGTGTAACAACTGACTGTACTTTTCACCCCCCGCCCCAATGACTAGGAGAAATGAGTCGTATCATTTTGTCAACATTTTCATAATATAAAGATATGATGCTCAGAAGTCTGGATTTATGCAGAGACCCTTTCTATAATTTCACCATTTGATAGCTCATTTTGACCTTTCTATGAATGCTTACTACAGCTCACCCAATAGTCTAAGTCTAAATTCCAAAATACTTACGCATTAAGACATCACTGACAGCAGCTCCCTATGATCCATAATCAGCTTCTTCCACTCCAAAGAACAAATTCACTTCCATTTACAAAATACCTTTAGGAAAAACTGTTAATTGATTCAGAGAATTCACACAGCATGCAACTAAATGCTTTCTGACAGAACAAGTTATGTTCAAATTGTACTGGTTTATTTACAACTGTAGTTTATAAACAGTAACACAAACATCTTTACATGAAAAAAATCTCATTGCTGAAGTAGGCACAGAGTCAGAGACTCTTTAGGATATTTTCAGAAGGGAGTAGGAAGAGGAAAATGTAATACAACAGCTGCTGGGCAAAACTAAATACACGAGTGTTGGCCCAGGTGCAATTTCATGCAAATATCTTCAACAGTTCAAGTTCTATTGGTGTTTACTCAGATACTAAGAAAAAAAAAAAAGGAATTAGTTCCAGAAATAAGGTGCCCTAGCTTGATTCCTAGTAAAATAACTTAGAATAACTGTTTTTTATAAAGGTCAGTTTTAATTATTTTACCTCCTGATGATGTACCAATTCACAGGTTTTCATTCAAATACTCAAAAACTTCACGCAGCAAAGCTAATCCCTGTTATCTGTATTTCACATTTTTTGGTAATTTCCACATCAATCAACAAAGGTGCTATGCCTTGGCCATAAGGACATTCCTGTACCGAGCTTTTTAACATGACAACTGTTCTTGGAACAAGTGGAAAGCTGCTGATAATCACATAGCTGCCATCTCTCAAACATTAACTAATTCAGAAGATGTTAGTCAAAAGAATATAAACAAATCCTTAAATCAATGAAGGCAACAGGTAATGAATACATTTATCACAGGTATATAGCACTTGAATCTCTTCACTTTATCTGTGTGCATTCATTTTCTTGTGGAGTACACCTTTGATCAGCACATACTTCTATGCTGAAGTGAATGTTTTTAAAGGTCTAATTATTATCATAGACATTTTGTTTCTGAGGAGCAAGGTAACTTGTTTTTAACTGTCATATTCTGTCATGAAGCATTAGCTTCAATTTCAGTGCACGTGCACATCTTTATAAGAGAAATAGCTTCAACCTATGAAATGTAAAATTTTACATAATTAAAAATCACAACCCTGTAGTAAAAAGTTATTGTGCACAGTTCATTTTAGTATTTAAAAATACCCTTACCACCAGTTCCAATTATTTAACCTAGTCATGGATAAGACTTCTCAAACAGTTAATTTTACAAATTGCTTGCATTTTTTCCATTTATCTGCAGCCTAAGCTGGAGTTGACCATTTTTAATGAGAAGGAACCAGTATTTCTAAGATTTTTTTATCTGCTCTCTGTATAAACCTAAGTTCTTAATCAGTCCTTGATACTACTCAGTATGCAAAATCAAATTTATAGACTGTAGGCAATGGAGACATTTTACTTTCAAGGGACAGTAATTTAAAAATTATTCTGTTTTCAACTGCTGCTCCATATCTGGCAGTGCTTCATTCCTTTAATGTGCTTAATGCAAACCCAGACCACTCACATTAAGGCTGCATTAAAAATGAAACCAACTGACCTTTATAATAAACATTTCAAAACAAAAAAAAAACAATAAAAAAAATTAAAAAACCTGTTCAGAAATTGATAATAATTTACCCTATCTTAAGCCTGCTACTCAGGCACTCCCATCAGCAAACAGAAAAATTCTCTTAAGTTAGTATTTGGTTGGGAAACAGTCAGCTTGTGTCCACATACAGTATCTTGGTTGCTGCTTCTTTATAAACTGTTCTCTACAAAGTCTCTAGTTATTAACTCTCCAAGGCATCCAATACTTTCATGATCTGTTGTTTTATGGCTTTGGTAGCATCACCTGCATTTGGAATCAAATACCTTAAAAAAAAGATTAGAAAAAGCCATCGTTAATACACTATACAATTTTTGAGTATCAATTCCATAATTCTTGTTTTGATTTTTACTCTGGCACAAACTAGAACGAAGGAGGAGGGGAATATATTAAAATGAAAAACTACTGAGAAAATAACATTTATTTCCTGTTTATACTATGAAACTTTCCATTTGTGAACTTAGAACTGTTGAGGAGTACTTCACAGGCCATCTTGAAAAGGAGAAGTTCCTCAGTAATTGACAATCGTATAGATCATGCAGTTCAAGATCTCTACAGATAGCACTGTCCGACTGAAGCATGGCAGTCGTAGTCTGTGTTTTTTGTTTTGTTTTGTTTTCCTGTTTGTTTGTTTTTAAATTCCTATAGACAGCTGTAGATCATTTATTTATGATTCCTTCTCTTCTGGATTTGGTCCAGTCAAGAAGGTGGTGATGAGGTAATTCAACACACAGCAAAGTTCTCTGCAACATTTTAATTTATCTTTGTCTGACCTACTACCAAACTCATTTCATTCTAAGCAGCCAACAAGCATAGAACAACTTCCCTAGTTAACTAGGAAACTCATCTCCCACATTTTTTTGTGGAAACAGAGCACCCACTGCACATAGTTCTCCACAGGGAAGAGGATGAGAAAATGTCCACTGATGTCAGCAACTTTGTTAAAACAGTGCCAAGAAACAACAGACTACACCAGTGGAAAAAAGCCAAATACACCCATCCCAAGCACGCAAATGCTGAGCATGGCAATACCTAACTTTGAGGAAGAGAGTTTCAGGGATTCAGAGTTTTGAGCTCAGGCTCCTGGACTTCTTGTATAATCCATAGGAGGAGTCAGATGTCTCAGAAAAGATACCACAGAAGAAAGATCACTCTCTTAAATCCTACTCTTCACAAATCCATACTTTAGGCTGCAGACAGCTGTCCGCTTCATTTTCATTTAAGACACATTACAGAAAGAAAACACTTGCACGCATCCCATCCCCAACAACTGTCACTGCAGACCACGGAGTTCCTCTCTGCTGGGTCTTGTAAAATCGCCTCATTCTGCTGGCAGATCTTTTTTCTAGTTCACATCTGAATTACCTATATCTAAATAAAAAATACTACTTTTGACCTCAATTCTGGGAATTACAGCATGCCCCGATTTCCAGTCGACAACATTCTGTATATCATTACTACTTACATCCCTGCTGCTGAAATGGCTTACCTTTCAACTGCCAAAATTTCTATGCCTGAAGTATTGCTATTTCCATATTTAAAGGTGATCAGTTCCGGGTGTTTCTTCTTGGATGTAATTTTGACTACAGAGTTGAGCGCCTGTCGAGACTGGATGTAAGCCAGTCCCTTTCGTGATGGAATCTCTCTCAAACAGTACATATGAGTTGCTGTTACTAGGAGATGACTTGAAGGAAAACAAAAATACAAATTAATTTTGCTAATGAACCAAATACCAGCTATTTAGAAAGCTAAATTCTACAAATAAGCTACACGGAGAGAGCTAGATAAAACAGTTCCCAAACCTAAGAAACAGTTTTAATATTTTTAAAATCTGGAATTTAGAACCGTTTACAAAATAAGATAGTCCTTCAGTACTGTATCACAGCCATTTTTGAAAACAAGCACGGCACCCTCAACAGCATACAAAACCAGACTGCACAGTTAACATCATCACCTCAACACAACAGCCATGATTGCTATCAACAAAGATCACAACCACCAGTAATGTGTCAGGCCATGCACAGAGTAGGGAAAATGCCTCCAGCCTCTCCTTCATCCTTCAGTCATACCCCAACCCCGGCCCTCTACCTATAGAGCAGCAACTCTACATACAGAGCATCAGACTTAAGGTAAACAGATGTGCTGGCACTCCATGACTGTCAATGTACAAGCACTAACGGGGAATGCTGACCTGCCAGCTCAGTTCAAGACCTACTTTTGTTTTCTTCATGGAAGGAATGCATGTTCAACTAGTGGTGGGAAAACACTAGTTAAGTTCCAACTCACTTAGAGAAATCATACTATGACAGATTACTAATCATACATCATATAAAATAAATCTAAAGGAAAATAAAATCTTTAATAAAAGACAAAACCAGACCATGATGCAAGAGAAAGCCCATCAAAATTTTCTGTTACCCAGATTCAACAGGATTTGTACTCTTTGGGGAAGCCAAAATACAGCAAGCATCATGCAGGGTGCTCTTCAAGGATTAACAAGGTCACAGAATCTCAGGGGCAAAATGGGTGCATACCACAAGGGACAGAGACAAGTATGCAAGAAAAAATGGAGCCACAGGTACTTGGGCCTGCCTGGTCTTGTACATAATCACCATTCTATAACACTGTAAATATAGGAATGCAAATATAGCGGCAACATTTTGTTCTAGGTTGTTTTGCACCTTCATTGCCTTCTTTAATATCAAGAATAACTTAAATGCCCAATATTTCTTTTTTTAAATGTGTATCAAGACAGAGATTTTCATTAAGCTTAGGACCAATTCCAGTACCTGGGAAACATATGTCCATTTTCTTTTACTTCATTACAGGGGAAGTTATACTTCACATCGGGTTTATTTATCCATGTTTGGATGTTGACGACCTCTTTTCGATCATCATCTGACATTGAGGAGCTATCAATTTCATCTATTTTGAAGGTAGTAAAAGTAAAAAAAAAAAAAAAAAAAAAAGATTTTCACACAGTATCAGACAACTTTTCAACTCACTTAAATCCAGATTAGCTACACTGATTCAAACCAAGGTCCACCTAGCCATAAACAATTGTTCAGAGGCAAGAAAGAAAAGGCATGCATATCTGATATTTCTCTTTTAATTCTCTCTCAGCAGACAACTATTTTCAGCTCAGGGGATTTATTAGGCTGGTCTGATTCGTCCATTCAGTAAGGTTTAATAGATCTCTTTTACATGGAGTTGTCCAGACTTTCCCTGAAGCCCTGTAAACTTTTTGCACCTACACCACCAATATATTTCAGTAAGGAGTACCAAAACCACGTTAACTACGTTCCAGGAAAGCCTCCTCTTGTGGCTTCTAGTTTCTTGTACAAGAAGAAACAAACAACGGTTGATCCCTTTCCATCGCAGACATTATTTTTGCAGGCCACTTTTCCTCCTTAAATTGCCTATTTCACCTAACCAAAGTTCTAACATTCAGTTATGCTTGTTGTGAAAGCCATTTCACATCTTTCCTCATCCTTCTTATCTTAAGTAGAGAAATAACAAGTGAACACAAACAATTCACTAAACCCATCTATTTCCATTTCTTCCTGTTGGCTGTTTGGTGCCTACCACAAAATCTTTATTTAATCTGCTACTATGCATTTGAAAAGGGTGTTTCTTTCTTGGTTGGTCCTAAGCACCACCATAACAAACATGATCAACGATAACAGTTAGAAAAATGTCACATTGTAAGAAAAAGATGTAAGATATATTCTTATGATTTAGCCAAGCTTCATAATTTTGTCTAAATAAGTTAATCTTGGTAAGAGGAAAATCTTCTACTGTACCGGTATCATATTCTTCTTCATCTCCGATGCTGAATACTGGTTTCACACCACGGTAGGGTTTTCCTACTCTGTCACTGCTGCTGACATGTCTGTTGGCAATGAAAAGGGCAGGAGAAGACATGGGATGGGAGAAGAAAAGTAACTTTCAAACTGATGGTATGACTCCTACAATAACATATTAGCAAAATGTAAACACAACTGTGCAACTGAGAAGGATGTGAATTTCATGAAGCTGCTTGCAAGGAAGCTGTGACTGACCCATAAAGTTATTTGGTTAGTGAAAGCATGTATTTCAGTTACTTGGCAAGGGTGACTGTTATAACAAATAAAGTGAAAAGAAATACTTCTTTGTTTTAAAAAGAACTTCTAGTCACCTTCTCAAATGACAAAATACACTAGAGACCTGAAAACTGACAACATGCTATGAAGTTTCTAGCATGAAACTGAAATATTTCTGGACAGTCAGGGCAGCTTTACAAGGATGCCAAATTGGGATGGAGGAAAAAATGAAGACTATTAACTAACATGTCTGGAAGCTCATTTTTCTAGTTAACTCCTCAAAAGAGAACAAAATACCTTAAGCACTTCAAAGTGGGGTTATAAACCATCCGCTTTAGTGTGAACTTTGACTTTCTGTCCATTACGTTCTCCAGCATGAGCCAAATCCTGAAATCTTTGGTCAAGCAATTCCTAGTGCTAAAATCGCAACATGACCAGGATTTCTGCATAGATATTGACCTCAAGAATCACATTTGAATCTATTTCTACAGATCCTACCAAATGACACAAACAAACACAACTGAGTCTTAATGTTTGACAGTAACAGCTGCAAATCCTGCGATATTTTAAAGCTCCAGCTTTAAATCAGAGTGCTGTGATTATACGTTCACAGCTGTCATGTTAAAAGTTCTGGCCCTCAACTGCCGAGAATACCTCAAAAACATGAGAAAACCCAAAGGTTCAGAATGCCACAAAATAGGTAACTGCTGAAGAAAAAAAAAAAAAAACACTTCCAGATTTTAGCCTTTGGAACTACCAACATGCAGTAGTTAAAAAAAAACAAAACAAAACCAAAACACACCTGTTCCTTTCCCCCATTTCAATTTCTATAACCTCTCTCCCCATAATGTGTGTTCATATTTCCTACAAACTATAAGCCTTGGTTCCTCTTTTAAGTATATTCACAAACTCCAGTTTACATGCTACTGTAGAACCAAGTTGGAGAAGCAAACTCTTTAGTAACATATAAATGAATGCTAGTACTTTTGTATACCTGAAAGCGTATTTGAAAGTTAAAAAAGAAACCTGCGTTTTCTAAGGCTAAAATTTACTAATGTAGACAAAACAAGGAAATGTTTAATAGGAAAAAAAAAAAAAAAAAAAGAAATGCATTCTACAATGAAACAAAAAATAAACATACAAAACCATGCTCATTAGTGTTTAAGACAATAAGCATCAATGACACTGACAATTCAAGAGGGCAGTGCTTCTACATGGAGGTTTTTGTAAATATGCTTTAGTTAATACGTAACCAATTGAGTAAGAAGCAGCACATTTAAATACAAATTGAAATACATAGAGAGGATTTACAAGAAGATCTCATGGGTGTTTATAGATTAAAGTTAGTCAAGACAAGAGAAAGTAAAAAGTTACTTTATAAAAAGCTGGTAACATCTTAAACTAGAAATGGATTTCCTTTAACCTGTTTGCATGGAAGGCCATCATTACATTGTTACAAATTGAATGTAATTGCCTTTGGTGGCAAACCTGCAAAATTAAATATATTGGTAATAAACACAAAGTGGATCTAATTATATGGATGGGAAAAGAATGCCATTCCACGTTTTTAAGAGCCGCAAATTTAAGATAACAGTGTAGTAATCCGTAGTGTGAGCAAATTTATTATTGCATCTTCCCAATGAAAGAAGATAAGTAATACGAGTGAAAGGATCAAGTAATTAACAGAAGTATAATCTCAATATATCAAAACTTCTTGGTTACAAATACGGATTCAAGTGTCTTTCAGTTATCGAACACAGTCACCAAGTGTTTTAAGTTGGAATTTTAACGCTTTCTTACCATATTCTAAAAACTGATCAACAAAATATGGGGAGATGTCCCCATGATCTTTAGGATTTCTAAATTAACAAAATATGTTATGTGCTAATGGGATATTCCCATTACTTTTTTTTTTTTTTTAAAAAAAAGAATACTCACTAACATTACTATTGGTTTTGCTTACACAATACCATTCTGTTAATGCTTATGGGTAAATCCTATCTCAAATTATGTGTAAACTACTTGAAAGAAGAATTGGTCCTAAATCCTTGAAAACACAAACAGCATTTTAGATTTTCACTAATTCTTCCAGCACCAAGCTTCACGCTTTTCAGTCTACGATGGTCAACAGCTGTAACACAGAGTTCCTAAAGTATAACCAAATTTCCAAAGTGATTACACATCAGCTGTCCCTCCTTTATCACAAGTAATTTTATATAACCTCAATTCACAATTTTAATTTCTGAAATAATTATAAGGCAATAAATCTGAGACAAATGTGAGGGGACTTCACATTTGTGTGAAATAGCAGTTACATGAAAAAGATGAGGGAGAGATGCAAGGCATATTTACTTATGAACTCAGCATTTTTCTTTTCCCAGTAATGAGCACGTCTGTTCTATCAGCATGTTCTGTCACCACGTGATGAGAACCATAAAAATTCCAGATTTCCAGATATAATTTCTGCATGGGTTCCCTGTTATATGTGAGCTCTGATGATGCTTTATAACAAGTATTTTTCATAGCTGTAGTCTCTCTTGTTAACAACTTAAGCCATAAATTGTTCAGTAATTGCTTCTGGTGTCTTTCACAAGTACAAGTCACTAAAAAAATTTATACAGGAAGTGACAAGTAGAAAAAAATTTCCATAAAAAGCAATAGTAAGGAAGAGAACAGAAATAACAAAGCAGAAACTAAGAGAACAAAGCACTGCCAATACATTCTTTTTCTTCTTCTAGTCCCCTGACCAGTACTTGTAAAAACCAATAGCTTTACATATTGAAAAAACCTAAATTAATATAAAAATATGTGAGCGATTTTGTCAGTGTAACCAATGCTTACAAATACTGTGATGCCATGCTAAATACGACAAAGGTGGTTTTAGTCAGACTGCTTAATTATCAAGCTTACCGCTCCAGGCTCGCTCTGTCTGGCCAGGGAATATTGAAAGGTATTCTATAGTACATTGGGGCAGAGGACAGAACAAAAGAATTAAAAAAAAAAAGTTTAAAGGAAAAATATAGATAAATAATTGAAATGCTTTATATTGGCAATGTATCTTCTTCAAGGAGGATGCTTATAAATAAAAAACAATGCTTCATGACAGCTAACCATGAGGTAGAGAAATATTTGTAAAAATGCTACTAAAAGATGCATTCTTCATGCTATGTATGGCTTACGTATAAGTCTTACTTGCATTCTTCACACAATAAGAGCTACTATCAAGTGCCATTTAAGAATTTTTTGATTCTAATTGTGACGTAATAATTAAAAAAAAAAAATTCCAACACAAAAAGAAACAACAATGTGTACCTTTCAATTAGGTACAAGAGTACTAAAAACTACTGCTTGTTTGGCCCATATTTTAAATCCTGCTATCAAACAAACACTAACTCTGTAAGATTCTTGAATACCAATGCCTTAGCAACATAGAACTCCAACAGCTGCATTTTAAAGAACTCTAAAACAGGCTATTCAATTAAAGCTTTGTCAGATGAAAGCTCATTCTTTTACTTAGTTAAGTATTTGGAACGATGACTTCCAACTTTGAAAGTGTCTTAAGATGTTTGCACATTCTCATTCCCAGCTCTACTTGAAGATACATAGAATGAACAAGAGTGGATTCTGGGTTTGAAAAGCAGCTTTACATAGGACTTGAAAAATTAAGACGTTCAAAAAAGTTAACCTCAACTTGATAAGATGGGGCAATTAAAAGACCAAAACAGACCAAAACCAACCAACCAAAAAACCTCAACCAGAATCCTTCTATCATTCACCCATTCCATTAGCGTCAGGACTGAAATAAAAGTGAAATCATTCTTGACTTTTACACTGAATACAGAACCGACACATTATAAGAAGTCAAACTAACCATGCAGTGACAAATTCTAGGTAAACATTCAAGAGAAAAGGCTGCTCACGCTGGCCTTGCAATACTAAAGCAGCACAATAGGCTGTTTGTGTCATGATAGAATTGTGAGGAGGGTAGAGGTAGGAAATCTACAAGATGAAACTGGAAGATAACTTTTTTCCTAACTAGCACAGTCTTCATGTTTCCAAATAGCCACCTGAAATGGGAAGTCAATCCTTACTGCCAATTCACAGCGAGATATAAATGACGCACCTGTCCACTGGAGTAGATGTATTTTCAATAAAACTGATAACTTTTTCTTTCACATTCACAGACTTAGTCTTCAAAGCAACCGTCATTTTGTTCACCAGGGATTTTACTCCTTTTCCATCACTTGAACCATTAGGAGAATCACCCTGTAAAAGTAACTCCTCTCAGGATTAATCTTATAAAAAGAATGTTATTTCATCTCTAGTTTGTTAAGAAAGGAAATAGACTACAAAACAAGAATCTACTTTTTGGTACTCAGAGGAACATAAATTACAACATTAAGTATTCTTTTAGAGTTCTATTAAATGACAGCAACAACATGTGTCTGAGGTAAAGATGATCCAATAAAGTAAGCTAAACAAACCTTATCACTGAGCACTCTGCTATGCAAATCTAGAGAGGAAGGAATCCTATTAATGATAATTTGTATCCAAATTAAAAGCCAAATTCTATATACACCATATCAGATGTAAACCAGAGACAATTTTGAGCTTTCCCATGAAACTGTATGCCAGTCTCATAGTAATTTATTCCCAGAGTGAAGAAGAGCCGAGAAAAGAGTTGTCCATTATGTATATTATGCTGGAGAATGACTACAGCAAGTTCTTCTCTACAAGTTCTTACTCTCAAGAGGATAAAAATGTTTAGGTTGCCTCCGACTAGACAGTGAATATAGTTTGAAATTAAACACACAACTGAGAACAGTCATGACTTGCAGTAATGCATTTTACAGAACAGAGTGAGAAACACGAAGAAAAAATTCAGCACACCCGGGACTCCCATCCCACTACCACTTGAGCTTAAAATTCACTTACATCAACAGAGGAGTTTATGCTACTTCTTGAGCCTGAGGTACTAGCAATCCAGTGGCCATAGCCATTTTCGGGTCCTTCTACATTGATATCTGCTAAGTGCTGCTGGAGGGCTGTTGAAAGGCCATTAAAAAAAAAACCCAAAACATTCAGAACTACACTAGAATTAGTTGATGGAAATACAGTATATCCAAGACTAATCAGTAACAATTTTTGCTCCATGTGATTTAATAACAGATAAATTCAGATACTGCTATAATCACCCCTGGCTTTTCTTTCAGTAGTACAAAGGCATTAGGGTAATCTTAATTTTTGTAAAGAAAACAGTTAAAATACAACAGTCATTAAAAATAAATCACTGCTTTGATCCTAAAGATAGCTATTATGACACTGCCATATTGACTAGTGATACCTCTATAATCATACTGTAGCACAGATCTCTCCACTGTAGAGCCTGATTGATTCCAGCAACACAAACTGCCGGATTATGAACTGATGATTTAAGAAAACACAACAACAATTAATAGTAATTATGAAGTAGCATCTTCATACGAATCTGCAATCTACAGAGGCTAAACATCAAGAATAACTTAGAAGAGGCAATCTCCTCTAACCACAAATAGCTAACAACAAATGTGCAAATGCAGTGTTGACTTACACAAAACAAAAACCTGACAAATGAGACCTATTTGCTATTCCTATTGCTGATTTCTAGCCAAAGCCTAATAAAAAATATCAATGGCATTAAGATATCAAGTTTTCTCAAGCCAAAGCTCATTATTAGTAAGCTTACCCATAAATCCTCCTTTGGCAATGCTTACGTACTCCTTATTTTTCTGCAACAGAAAAGACATTTTTGATTGAAGCAAAAATATGTGTAATGAGTTTTGCAAGCATGGTAATGAAACATGGGTTAATTTCATAAAAACTGTAAAGCTGAGTAATGTAAAAACCAGTGAAGATTTTAAGGGGAAAATATTTTGCCATTTAGGATCAATGACACGTGCAGATACACTTTATTTCAGCTATTAAAGTCAACAACGATTTAGTTGTACCTGTAAGAAGTGTGCTAGCACCATGTTCATATACATATCTTCTTCTTCCCTGCCACTTCCCATGAAGCAGAGGTGTTCCCCACCAGCTATGGAGCCAGACTCAATAGATTGTTTTTGTGCTTCTAATAGGGATTTTACAGACTGTGCAAATTCTGAAGGGTTTTGAAGCATCTGTGGAATGAACAAACAAAAAATGCTGCTTGACATCAACATACTGTAACACGGCTTGTAAAAAAATACAAACTTTGAAAATGGTTATAATTTGTTGAGCACAAGCAAGGCAGCATCAGCACTGTACAAGACACACAAACACACACACAAAAAGGACAGCCTCACCCAGACCTCATGTTATGTACAGAACACTGAGAATGGTCCTTTTCTTCCTCTCTCCACCTTGCTCTCCCCAGGAAAGAAATGCAGCTAACATTTTTTAGTTTATTTTTGCAGACACCAAACAACAGCAGAAAAAGGTTTTACAACTTTCGTGTTGCATTAAGCTGGCAATATGGCAGAGGGACTGATTTCCACATTCACATATGCTTGAGCACAACATGTTCAAACTTTGCAGTTCTGAAACCGTTTAAAATACCTAGAATTCCTACATGCCACTAAGGTCATACTCTTGTTGTCTGCCCACTAAGCTTTTTCTCATTTACTTAGCAAGATTTGGAAAAAAATTACAATCAGAAATACAAGGAGATACCTGGGATTCTTAGTACTCTCAAAGAGTTAAGGTGGTGGTCTTCTCAAGGCCTATTACGCATGCAAAACCAATGAGCTGCTATGTGAAAGAGATGGAGAAACAAATACTTTCTAAATATAGCTGAAATTTTAACCCGCTCTTGTGAGGACGGCACTTATTTAAAATGGGGGGGGGGGGGGGTGGTGATTCTAATGATCTGGCCTTTACACTGGATTAAATGACTGAAAACAAAGTAACAAGTACACAGCCTAGACACCAGTCAACGTGAATTTTAACTGGGGTTCTCCTAGAGCCAAATGCTGCTGCTTTGTTACATAGGTGCTAAATCTCACTACTTCCTCTATCTAAGACCACCTATAAATAAAATGGATTCCAAGGCACTTTCCCCATTGCCTCCCCTTAAAGTAAATAATGTGTACTTTGCACTTACAAACATATAAAACACATTGAAGTTCCATTAATGCTTTTTTGTCTCAAAGATTACTCCCCACAGTGTTTTCCTGGCATTAAACTGCTAAAACCAGAGATCCTGGCAACATTAAGGGGCAGGGTAATATCAGAGACACTGTTGTGGGTGTCTACTACAGTCCACCTGATCAGGACAAGGAAGCTGATGAGGCCTTCTACCGACAGGTGAGAATCACCTCACAATCACAGGCCTTGATTCTCGTGGAGGACTTCAACTACCCTGATATCTGCTGGGAAGGCCACACAGCTGGGCATGTACAGTCCAGGAGGTTCCTCCAGTGCATTGATGACAACTTGTTGACTTAGGTGCTGGAGGAGCCCACAAGGAGAGGTGCACTACTGGACCTGGTACTGACAAACAAAGAGGGACTGGTGGAGGATGTTAAGGTTGGGGGCAGACTGGGCTGCAGCGATCATGAGAAGACAGAGTTCAGGATTAAATGCAGTACAGACAAAATGACAAGTAGGGTTAAAACCTTAAATTTCAGGAGGGCTAACTTTGATTGCTTCAAGAATTGCTTGGACAAATCCCATGGGAAAGGGCTCTAGAGGGTAAGGGGGCTCAAGAGAGCTGGCTGCTATTTAAGCATTGCTTCCTCCAAGCTCAGGATCAGTGCATCCCAAAAAGAAAGAAATCAGGCAAGGGCATAAGGATACCTGCGTGGCTGAGCAGGGACCTTCTGAAAAAGCTC